TCACAGACCAGCCGTGCCATGCCAGCTCCATGCCCCCGCCCAGCCCGACCTTGGGCTGGGCTGGGTGCTCCTCCTGCTTTGTCGCACTCTGTCATGGTCCTCATCCTGGGGTGCCACTGCTTGGTCCCTAGAATGGGTGGAAAGCTGCTCAGATGCAGGGCGGAGTCTCAGGCATGATCTTCCTCCCAGGGGCTGGTCCACTGCTCGGTCCAGATGGTTGTTGACAGAATGAAGGGCCAATTCAAATGCTATGAGAAGCAAGTCTTCTGATTGCTTTAAAACAATTTATTTCAGACCCACTATCAAACTCACCAGATTATACCCTAAAATACCTTTTATTTTCTAGACATTTATAACACCATCCTCGAAGGATAGAGATTTGTCACCACTGAGTACACAGGAAAGATTGAACATCTGATTTCAAAGTCAGCTTCCCCAGACAAAGGAAAGAGCCAGGCATCTAAAAGAGTCCAGGCACAGTCAAATCCTTTATGAACATCTTCCCATAAATTTGCATAACAGCCCAGTCAAGTAAGTGTCATCAAGCCCATTGTTCAGACTAGGAAACTGAGGCCCCAAAAGTTAAGTAGATGAAGTTAAGTAAGTTGTCTACGTTCACCAAGGGGGAAGGCAAATATCCCTGGCAATCAGACCCAGACTTGCATCTATGGACTACTTCTTCCACTTCCAAGTGTGGCTACATTGCAATAAGCAACATTCATCTTTAGTATAAAATATGATGCCATTGAAAGTTTTTGGTACACATGCCATGGAGATGTATAAATCCAGCTGTTGTAGTAATGCAAAACATTGCACAGCTTTACCATATGACCTTATACACAGCTGTGTGCAGACACAATTTCAAACCTGCACACATACACACATTGAAAGAGGGATTTATGAACCATATGGAAGGGGAAAAAAGTCTGATTCAAATCTCTGCCAATTCTGTAATTTTAGAATTGGCAGGTAACTAAACTGTATCATTCAGGGTTCTCCAGAGAAACAGAAGCATTGGGCTATATGCAGATATAGAAAGGAGACTTATTATGGGAATTGGCTCATGTGGTTATGGAGTCTGAGAAGTTCCACGATCTGCCGCCAGCGAGCTGGAGAAACAGGACAGCCAGTGGTGTAGTCAGTTTGAGCATGAAGGCCTGAGAAATGGGGGCTGTGGGGTAAGTCCTGGTATGGGTCTAAAAGCCCAAGAACCAGGAACAATGACATCTGAGGGCAGGCCAAGACGGATATCTCAGTTCAAGCAGAAAGAGTGAATTCTCCCTTCGCCACCTCGTCATTCTATTCGGGCCCTCGACAGCCTGGATGAACCGCCGACGGGGCCCATACTGTCTGCTCTGCTCAGTCTCCCTGCTCAGATGCTGATCTCTTCTGGAAGCACCCTCAGCAGGCACACCTAGAGACAATGCTTTCCCAGCTGTCTAGGCGTCCCTTCACCCTGTCGAGTTGACACATAAATTAACTGTCACACATTTACTTACTAGACTTTAAAAAAATTTCCCTGAATTACTGAACAGCTCCTTTTCTCCAGGGTAGATGTGCAATGTAAGAGCAGGTGACCTCCACAAGAGCAGTATCTTTGAGAGAGTGACTTAAAAACTTTTACTGAAATCTAGTGAAATTGTTCCAGCCAGCCAAGCTGTAATCCAACAGTTCCATCGCTGCCTTGTCTATTCCTGGCTCAGCTCTGGAGAGTGGTCATCCATCTCACCACCGTCCACGTGACTTAGTGTCTAAGCCATTTGGGCAAGTGGATCATTTGCTGCACACTCGTTAGGAAGGGCTACAGTAATTCATAAAAGGCACATGTATAACGGATGGGTAAAGAAACTGCTTTCTGCGCCCTCGGGGAAGCCCGGCCCGTCAACAGAGGCAGGCTCTGCCCCTGCGACCTTCTCTACCAAACACCGCCCGGCGCTCACAGAACAGGCACGTGCATTCAAAGCAGGTGGATAAACAGGTGCACACACATGGAACCACCCTTTTACTGCGGTTCTCCTCCTACTCCGTCGTCAGTACGCTGCTCTTGTTATTTGTACTAAAGTTATACGTGAAACAGTCAATGAATAAACAGTTCTGCAAGTTTTGTTGCAACAGTCCCTGTCCCTGTCTCCTCCATGTACCCTTCTCCATCCACGCTCCTCCTTCAGGTCACAATTTTGGCATCTAACTCCTTATCTCTAAATGGTAGGCCTCCATGACTCCTTCACTGTTAATTCCAGGCTCCCTGGGGTGGCTTCCCACTATGGAAGATGAGGGTCTAGAAGTCTTTCCTCTCCCAGGCCCCGGGAGACCCTCTCCCCTCCCATCCCCCCATTTTCCCAGTGGAGTACTACTGACTTTTTGATTAGATCCATTGGCAGGGTTTAGGTGGTTATAATGAGGTATTACACAGACAGATGACCCATGTAGTGAGCTTTACTATGCACAGAGGATGGCCTGTACAACATTTTACTCCCTAGAACTGATAATGGCTCTTCTATTGAGTTTTTTTTTCCTGAACTTCTCATTAATTCAACTTCAGATGCTTTACCAACTAAATAAATCTTCTCTCACAGCAGCCAGATCCTTCAGGAATTCTATCAGTTCACTCTTCCTGAGAAGGCATCTCTCAGGGTTTTCTGACCCACTGAAGTCAGAACTGGGCATGGTCTACACTGGGGACAAGTGGCCTCCCTTCAGTGCTGGTCTGCAGACTCCCGTGCCTGTCCCCTGTGCAGGAGCTCCAGCTTCCTGTGCTCCATTTCTTTCTCCTCCTCAACTTATCCCTCCATTTCCTTTCCATACCATTTTCCTGATACTTGAGAAAAGGTAGATGGGAGGTACACTTTTTGAGCCCTGGAACTTGCTGGAATGTACGCTCTCACACTTGATTGATGTGTGTCGGCACTGCCTTCTAGCACTTGAGAAATTTAACACTATTCAGCCCATATGACCTGTTGCTCTTCTCTGAAAGCTCATCAGATCTAAAATTTGTTTTGGTCAGTGTCTATTTCTAGTCATTGCTCTGCACTCTTGGTAGGTTTCAATCTGAAAACTTACCTATTTCAGGTCTGTGAGATTTTCTTTAATTATTTAATCGATGATTTCTTCCTTTATGTTTTCTCTCTTCTCTTTCTGATGTTGAAATCTCTGGACTTGTCTTCTAATTTTCTTGCCTATTTTCTCACATTTTATCTTTTCACTCTACTTTGTAAAAGAGTATAAAGACCTTGTTCTCCAGCATATCTTTTGAGATTTTTATTTCTGGTTTTATACTTTAATTTATAGAGCCCTAATAATTGTTCTCTGAATTTTAAAAAATGCTATTTCTTGTTTTACAGTTACAAAAGTCTTCTTATCCCTCTGCAAATACTGATCATGGTTATTTTTATGTTTTCATAGTCTCTATTCCAAATTTCATTTTTTCCATTTGATTGTTTAGATCTTGATGTTCGTGTTCATGCTGTTGGTAATCCGACTGGGCGCTAACAACCATGATGCTTGTTGACTGTGAACTACACTCTAGCGTGTCCTGGGCAACTTCTGATGTCACAATTTCTTTTCTCTTGGCTCAGTCACAACACACTTGAAATCACTTGAGTGTCCTTCCTGGAGCATGAAAACACCAAGGCACCATGGTCTGACCCCCGCTGGGGTGGGAGGGTGTTATTTCAGCATTCGGTCTGTGTATGTTTAGATAATCTTGCCATTTTGGTGCAGTGTCCCAACCCAGGCAGGCGTGATGTTCCTCAGCACAGATGCTCTCTCTTTTTCCCTCTTTTGGGGAATAACCCTCAGACTTTTTGGGTGAGGACGGGGCAGCCGTCTAGCTCTGCAGAGCAGGTACACGGGTCTGGGATTCTTAAGAAGTTTTCAACCACTTTACCTCATTTTCGCCTCTTTTTTCACCACCCTCTCCCCATTCTGTAAACACCAGGTGCTGCCAACTCCTGAGCCTTTGAGGGAGTCTTTAACATCTATCAGTTCTTAACGCTCCTCAGTGGCCACTGCAGATTCAGCTTCTGGTATCCTAAGTGTTAATCACTCTACACCTTCTGTCCAACTCCCCTCAATGTTTTGCTGCAGTCTCTATTCAGTTTTCCCTATCCTCATACACATATCATTTTTCAGACACTCCTTCCTGTCATTTAATGGACTTTTAGAAGGAAAAAAATGTAGACATGTGTTTGTGTGTGTGTGTGCATGTGCACGCTTAATCTTTCATCTTAGAAGCTCAAGTCCTTGTCTTTTCCACATCTTCCAAAAATATTTAAGTTAGAAGATCAGCAGGCACAGCGCAAGGCTGCAGGTGACCACATCTGGCGCGCTGGCACCAGCGCCCCACTGGGCTCGGTTAGGAGACTGTGCTAGCGACGCCAGCACTTCCCAAGGCCTCGCTGGGCTCCTGCTTCTGCCGGCCACTCGCTCTGCTCCCTGGGCGGGATGTGGCGCTACTGTGCACAGGAAGGGGACAAGAAAGGGCCCTGGGCAGGCAGTGGACACTCAGCACGTCTACACAAAGCCCAGAGCCAGCACCGTGCCTTCCCAAAATAAAAAATCTTCCGCAATGCACAGCACTGATTCCAAAGTATGGAAAGGAAGAAAGTAAAATCCCTCACACTCCAGACTCATTGGTAGAATAACGCCACTATGACCCTTCTGGCCTGAGACGGGCACAGAAGGTTCCAGACTCCCCAAGGCTGGGTAAGAGAAACTAAGGCCAACCACCAGCCCTGTCTCCAACGGCGGGAAACAGGGGTGTGTGCGTGTGTGTAAACAGCAGAGGGCCACCGCTGGTCTACCTCGATTCAGGCAATGAGGCTGCATGCTGTCTGCGGTGGACGCATGAGAAATGAGAAGGCGTTCTGCTCTGTGCTATCCCGTGCACTGCCACTCCCAAACGATGTCAGAGACGAAACACTCTCCCACTGCTGCAGACTGCTCCTGAAATCTACCCCAAGTCCGCCACTATCCTAGGCACGCCGCCGGCACCCAATTACCTGTGGATGATGTGGTTCCCCTGCAGATACTCCAGGGCCAGGGCCAGCTCGCAGATGTAGAGCTTCACAGCGCCCTCTGTGAACTGCACGTTCTGCTGCAGGTGGTAGCGTAGGTCCCCCCCAAGGAGCAGGTCCACCACCATGAACATGTCCTCCTCGTCCTGGAAGGAGTACCTACGAGCAAAGAGGGACAGCAAAGATTAGGGACAGACATCCTCAAGACCAATGCCCCCATTTTACAGAAGAGCAAACTTAGACTTGGAGAGAGGCGCTGATGTTGCCTGAGTCATGGTGATATGAGAGTGGGGGTGAGGGAAGAGGCTTTCAATTCCCAGGCTTCCCCCATACTGTTGGGCTTTCCTGATTCCCTGCATAGCTAAGGCAAGCAGGAGTACCCAGCACTTCCCAGGCACTGGCAGACAGACGACACTTTAACCAGTACTGGACCCCAACATGTCACTTTAACCGTCTCCAGCAGATGCTTTTATTAGACGTTGTCAGGATTTGTAGGAGTCAGTCTCCAGAGATTCATCCCCTCCCCCAAACCCCTTGGTTTCCTCTCCGTGCATGCTGTTCTGCACACAGGGCTAGTTCTGCGACCCCTGAATGCAGTGATGTTCTGGGCCGTCCAATCCAGGTCTTCAGGGAATCAGTAGTTTATAGTTCTTGCCTCTTGGAACTCAGCCAAATTCCAAGCCACATGGAGAGACTGTGAGAAAGAAAACCAAGACTCTCTGGTCAGCAGCCCTGCTGCGCACGCAACGAGACAGCTAGCACCGACGGCAGCCCCGAGAGCGAGCCTCCCTGGGCATTTGGGTCTCCCACTGCAGCTGGGGCACCGTGCGGAGCAGAAGGATCGCCCAGTGATCCCAGTTACCCCACACAACACGACGTGATAAGTTCTAGGGTGGTGTTTTGTTTCAAAGCAGTATAAAACTGATACAGTATTGATACAGTATTGAATTCATTTCCTAAACATGCATTTGGGCTTCCAGGACTGAAGAGCCTACGTACAGAATCTGAGAATGTTGTTCATCAGTTGTAAAATAGCATCACATCATCAATGTTGTCAAGCTCCTTACAGACTTACGAAACGTGGTAACAAAATCATGTAATCACAAATTTCAGAATGTGATCATGGAAGCTTAGACCTGTGTCTTAGATCCTTGCATATTGGACCTGGTTCAGTCGGGCTACTCCCCTCGCTTGACAGAACATGAAACTGAGGTCTGGAGGGAAGAGGGGACTCAGTGGGTCAGTGTCAGGGCGGGGCAAAACCCGGATCCCAGACTCTCGCTCCCGGACCTGGCCCGCCACTGCACGCTGCTGTGACGCTCTGTGGTGCACACACTGCGTTCCAGCAGTCTGGGCGTGCAGCCCCGGGAGGGAGACGGACACACGATTTGGTCCAGGAGAGGTGACAGAATCGCATGCTTACAGGGTGGGCAACTCTAGCCCCATATGACAGAGACTGGGGTCCAGGAGAGAGGAAATGGCTGGCCAGGAGGAGCAGCCCTCTTTGTGTGTCTCGCCGCTGCTTGTAATTGTTGGGAATTGAGGCAAGGAACAGGGGAGCTTTTTATTGTGCCCCTGGAATCATGAATTTACCAGACGGTTACAGAACACCTCTCTTGGGACAGGCATCAGGCTATGTGCTGGGGACACAGGGACAGAGAAACCGTCCTCGCCCTGAAGGAACACAGGCTCCTAGGGGACACAAGCCAACAGTGGCAGACAAGGCAGGGCTGGTGCTCCAGGAGTCTTTCGGGCTGTAGCAGGCGTGGGGAGGGTGGAAGTCAGGGCTCCAGCAGGCGTGGGGGTTGGGACACTCTTTGCGGATGAGGGGTTTCCGTGTGACTCACACAGAGACAGCAGGACCCAAGGCTGGCTCAGGGTCCTTGGGGGCCACCTTTGGGAGTCACCATACTGACATGGCTGGGCAAGAGCGCAGTAGGAGACAGTCCTGGCCCTTCATGGGCAGGAGGGCCAGGAACCCCCTATGGGGTGGAATGCTGCGTCTCCCACTGGGACATACAGGAAGTGCTTCAAGAGCAGAGCAGGTGGGCCAAAGCTGCACTTCCCAGGCACCTCCAGACCGAGGGGCCCTCCTTCCTTTCAAAGCGAAGCACCAGGAGTATCCAGGGTTGGTCGTAGCCTCATTTGCTGCCCAGACTTCCCCAATATTTCCAAGTAATGGGTTAAAGGGAATTATTTGCAGAAATTTCAGTGAGAAAATTTTTCTTTGCCCAGAAAACTTCATTTGTTAAATGCTATTCTATTCTGTCAAGAATTTCGTAACATACAGAAAAGTATGCTCTAATTTCTATTCTGTTCCATTGATCTCTTTGCCTGCCACTAAGCTAATATCATTCATTCACTCAACAAACACTTACTGCATGCCTCCCCACGGGGCAGGAGCCACCATGGGGGCCAGGCCCTTCCTTTTATGGGCCCTAGGTTCTCACGGAGGACAAAGCTGTGGAGAAAGGAAGCTATGAGGAGGAGACGCAGGGCCAATGTAGGAAGGGCCCCGGGAGCCCTCTGAGCAGAGGCCGCTTGAGCTGGGCCAGTCCAGGAAGGCGGGGCTGGCGGAGGCGGAGAGCCTCCTGCGCAGGGCAGGGCTCTGGGGCAGGCAAGGCCGGGGAGCCGGCAGTGTGGCCGGCAGAGGCTGCACGCTGCTCCTGGGAGGGGGACGTCAGCTGGGCGCGGGGCTGGGGCCCTCACTGCTGCTTCGCCGTGAAGGTCTCTCTGGGCACAGCGTGGAGAATGGGTCTGCGGAGGGCCTGGGCGCGGGCCGGGGCTTCCCTGGAGGGGCGTGGCGCCGCGGGCGGGCGCCCTGTGGAGCCGCGGGCGGGCGCCCTGTGGAGCCGCGGGCCAGCACGCCGTCCTCTCTCCAGCGCCTCAGCGTGGCCACCAGGGGGACCGGGCCGGCCTCGCGCGTTCCTCTCAGGCTCACTTCAGAGCTCGCGGGCGGAAGCAGCAGGGCGGGCTTGCTCGAGGCCCAGGGACCTCTGAGGGCACCAGCTCCCCTCAGACCTGGCTCGGGAACGCGTGACCTCAGTCTGACCCGAGATCCCTGCCGCCCCGCGCACTGCGCGAACAGCTACGCGTCAGCAAAAAGCTTACAAAATAAAGCAAATAAAACTTTCTTAGGTGCCTCCCGCTCTGGAGCTACTGACCTTTTTCAAATGTAGTTTTTTCCAGTTGGCCCATCTGGTTAGCATGTCAGGGCCCATGCAAGAACCAGACTGAAAATCTCTCCTTTGACTTTTGTTGGAATTATATTGAATTTATAGATTAATTTAAAGAGAATTAACATTTTTATAATGTTGGACATTTTCAACCATGAACATGGAATATCTATTTATTCTGATCTTCTTTTATGATTATCAATAAAGTTTCACAATTCTCTGCTTCACAGCCTGGCATCTATGTATTTTTATTCCAAGACTTTGAAAGTAATTTTTATTGCTGTTGTAAATATAATCTTTTCCAAGAAAGCTTACTAATTTGTCCTCACAAGGGTATAAAAGAACACTCTGAAATTGCATATATTTATCTTGTATATAGAAACTTGGCTGGTCTCGTAGTTACCAGTTCTAATGCTTTTCCCACTGATGCTTCAGGGTTTGCTTATTCCGTGAAAATTTCTGTATCTTCTCCAAAAATCATGCTATCTTTTAAATATTTCAATCCTTATCCTCTTATTTCTTCGTCTTGTTTTACTTCACTGTCTGAGACCTCCAGTGAAAAGCTGATCAGGAAGGGTGATGGTGGCATTTCTACCTTGTACTGAACTTAGGTGTTTCTCCATTAAGTAAATTGTTTGCTGCATTTGAAGGAGATCATTTATCCTGTTAAGAAAGTTGCTTTCTGTATTGCTAAGAACTTTTATCATGAGAGTTGTAGAGGTTTTTTCTTTAATGTTAAACTGTTTTTGCATTTCAAGACTAAACCCTACTTATTGATAAACACACACAAAGACCCATATATTTTACTGGACTCAAATTGCCAATATTTTGTTCAGGATTTTTATGTCTAATGTTCTGAGTAACACTAGCCCTTACAGTCCTGCCGGCCATGGCGCTGACCCAGGTTGGTGTCACGTGGTACTGGCCTGGGCGGATGAAGTGGTTGGCTGTTCCTCTCCGGTCTGTACATGGGAAGGGTTTACAGGGGCATCACTTGCAGAAAGTCTGGTCTCACGGGCCCTCCATCCCTTACTTGTGACTCGTGGGATTTTCCTTCCTCCCTTCATGTGCTCCTGTTGGTGATATCACATGGTTCATGTGCTTCACCCTCAACAAAAAGATGAGCAAATAAATAGCCCAGGAGGTACAGGCATACCTCATTTTATTGTGCCTCACAGATGTGTTTTTTGCAAATTGAAGGTTTATGGCAATACTGCACCAAGCAAGTCTCGCAGCGCCATTTTTCCAGCAGCATGTGCTCATTTTGTTTCTCTGTGTCCCCTTTTGGTAGTTCTCCCAATATTTCAAACTTTTCCATTGTTATTAGATCTGTTATGGTGGTCTGTGATCACCAATATTTGATGTTGTCATATAATAGTAATTGCTGAGACACCACGAACCACGCCCACGTAAGACGGCAAACTTGACTGATACGTGTTGTGTGCTTTCTGATCTCTCCACGGATCAGTCACTCCCCCAACTCTCGCTCTTCTGGGGCCTGCCTGTTCCCTGAGACACAACAATATTGAATTAATAACCCTACAACGGCCTCTAAGTGTTCAAGTAAAAGAAAGAGTCACACATTTCTCACTGTAAATCAAAAGCTAGAAATGATTAAGCTTAGTGAGGAAGGCATGTTGAAACCTGCGACAGGCTGAAAGTTAGGCTTCTTCACCAAACAGCCAACTTTCCAATGCAAAGGAAAGTTCTTAAAGGAAATTAAAAGTGCTCCTCCAGTGAACACGCCAATGGTACGAAAGCAAAGCGGCCTCACTGCTGATATGGAGAAAGTGTCAGTGGTCTGGGGAGAAAATCGAAACAGCCACAACATTCCCTTACGCCAAAGCCTGATCCAGAGCAAGGCCCTGACTCTTCAATTCTGTGCAGGCTGAGAGAGGCGAGGAAGCTGCAGAAGAAAAGTTGGGAGCTAGCAGAGGTTGGTTCATGAGGCTGAAGAAAAGAAGCCTTCTCTATAACATACGA